TTTGTAAATACAATAATATGAATCATTTGTTATTATTGCTTTGTCCTTCTTTTTCTTATTTATACCTGTTCGCTGGAAATAAGTTTTTTATTAAAAAATTATTTTCTTGTAAAGTCAATTCATAAAAAACAAATTATTTTTTAATATTTTATAGTGTTATAGAAAATGAACTGGAAAACATTTTCCTGTGTTTGGTTATATTATGGAAAATAAACTGGAAAGAAATTTATTAATGAATTTTTTTTTTTTTCAAATTTATCTAATATATAAAAAATATTAAATATAAATACTTAATCACTTACAATAAAAGAATAAAATCTAAAAAGTATAATGATGAATTTTTTTTATTATATCATATATTCATATATAGCTTATTTTATAAAATATAACTATATATGTCATATAATATTTATAGAGATATAACCTTGTGAAATTTTTCACAAATAAAACCTATTAATATTTTTTTTAAAATTTTAAAAGCTTAAAATATGTTTTTTTTTTTTTCATATGAAGAAATCCAAGTTAGTTTATGGTATTAAGTAAGAGTTAGATATTTGAGTTTTTTTTTTGTTATGAAGATTTTTTTAAAAGATAAATAAATATAAAAATATTTTGATGGGTTTTTTGGATAAATAATTCTTTTTTATGGGCATAGGCAATTACCCCTTTAATATCCCTTTAATATATATCAAATAAGCATTAAGAAATAAATATAAATATCTTACATCAAACATAATCATGCATAAATATTAAGTTTTGATGTAATACTCATACATATTAGTTCAAATTAACAAACATAAACACGCTAGACCAAATTAAACAAGTAAACATATTTGTTAAATAACAAACAAAAACTTTCTTATCATAGTGAAATCATCTTAGCTATCAGGCCTGTAGTAGTATTGTTTCAAAAAATTCTGAACCCAAATTTTCCTCAAATTAATATTTTTTGCCATAAATGCTTTTGCCAACATTTCATGTTGGACCAAGTGATCAAATGCATCTCCAAGAGTGATCTCATCAAAGCCTTCAATTTTCATCACTTCTGTATATAGTTCATTAACATCAAGTTAATTTTTGCTAAAGCTTTGGATTGCAAATGCTACATCTCCAATCTTTTTAGATAACTTTTCAACATTATCATCTTTATACATGCAATTTCTCTTTCTATGTTGCCTCTTTTGTGCACTAGAGGAAGATGTCTCTTTTTCTTTTGAAGTTTCTTTATATTCCCCTTCATTTTCAATTGAAATTGATTGCTCTTTAGGTTGACATCAACATATGATTTGTCATAATTTCTGGTTGCCATGTCTTTTCCAACAACAATTGTCATTGCCTCGTACATATCAAGTTTTTTGTTGAGATACTTGTCATGATTGGGATGTGCATGTTCATAAAGTTTAGAATATGCAATTTTTTAGTTCCTTGTATAACATTTTGGAAACAAAAGTAAATATAAAAATTACAAAGAGTATAATATTTATTATACCTTCACTTCTTCATCATATACATCTTTCGAAATTGTAATCATCTTCAAACAATCATCCTAACCAAAGCTGCTTTTATTTTTAAGTTTGGTTATTATTCCCTATTCTTTTTTCACAGTTTTGAGATGATTGTCCACATGCTTAGGCTTGCATTGCACGTTGAACTTTTAACTAATTTCTGTAGCCACCTTAACAAAAGATTCTGCTCTAAAGGTGGAAGAAGGTTTATTTCCTTTAAGTGCCTCCTCAGCTAATATCTCAAGTAGCATGTGAGACATAGGCTTAGACTATGTGAAGTGCTTGCCCTTGCATTTTTCATTATGTATGGTACTCATTTCTACAAAAAAAAAAAAAATTACAAATTTATACAAAATATAATCATGCAATATTTAGATTTAATAAATTTAATATAAAAACTACAATCAATATTGTAATAAAGTTAACAAACAATCCAAATATGTAACAAAAATAATACAAACTCAAGTAAGACATAATAAAAACAGACACATATAATTAACACTCAATTACTAGTTTCTTTGAGTGTTATAATCATTCAACATGGTTGATGCAATCATTTCTCCTTTTGTTATTTACTCCCTATTCTTTTCCCTCTCCTCTTGTTGACTTAAGTTGATTGTTCTTCTAATTAATTCACTTTCCGAACATATTTCTTCCATAAGAAAGTCATAGGATCAACTCCCATAATATGATTATGAATAATACAACATGCAAGCACAACATCTACTTGTGTTTCATAAGACCAAAAAGATTTTTCATTAATTGATCTAAAACGACTCTTCAAAATACCAAACCCTCGCTCAATAGCTGTTCTTAACGAAGAGTGTCGAAGATTAAATAGCTCCTTTTTATTTTCTGATGAATGTTCTGTAAACTCATTCAAGTGATATTGAACTCCACAAAAAGGAGAAATGATTTCTTTTTTAATACCATAACCAACATCACCAAGATAATATTTCCCTACAAATTAGAATACAAACATATTGCTATCCTTTTCTAATTAAACATTTATATGTTTATTGCATTTAATAAATACTTTATTATATACCTTCTGAAATTTTTAGACCACTAGGTCTTGATAATGTATCATTTAAAACCCTTGAATCATGTGCACTTCCTTCCCAGCCAGCTAAAACATATATAAACTTCAAATCAAAAGTTATAGCAGCTAAAACATTTTGTGTTGTTCCTTCTTTTCGACCTCGAAACTTTCCTTGAATCTTAATAAGAACATTTGCAGGAACATGGGTACCATCAATTGCTCCCACATAATCCTATATAAACATGAAAAAATAATTTATAACCTTTTCTTCTAGATGTAATTAATTAATGTATGAAAATATTGGTGTTGTTCTCATACCTTAAAATAAGGATAGAATCTTCGATTATTCATTATCTCTACGGGAATTGAATCCCCTGGGTCTTTAATTAGGTGTTTGTATAACTTAAGAACTACCTTCTCACTTCCCAAACAGATCCTACTACATCTATATATAAACACTAGTTTATCAAGAATACGCTATATATAAACGCTAGTTAGTTAGTAAGCTCATTCAAACCATATTAACAAAACATTATTTATTAAAATAATTTTTTAACCATTCAACAACTCAATATTTTTCTATTTAGATTTTTTCTACTTCTTCTTCCAAGTGCAGGATAACCCCAAGGGGTTGCGGGTTTTTTTCTACCAATTGGGGCCCTCCCCTCACCACCCCCATGGGGATGGTCTACAGAGTTCATAAGTACTCCTTTTCCTACAGGACATTTACCTAGCCAACATTTAGATCAAACTTTACCCAAACTTTTCTGGTTCACCCCAACATTCCCTACTTGTCTGACTGTTGCTTAGCAGTTTTTGGATATTAAACGAATCTCCCCATAAGGTAATTTTAATGTAGCTGATATTCCTTCTTTTGCAATCAGTTTTGCTATAGCACCTGCGGCTCTAGCTAATTGTCCACCCCTTCCAAGTGTGATTTCTATGTTATGTATGGCCGTGCCTAAGGGCATATCGGTTGAAGTAGATTCTTCTTTTTGATCAATCAAAACCTCTTCCCAAACTGTACAAGCTTCTTCCAAAGCATACGGCTTTCTGGGTGTAGATGATGATATCTATACAGATGGATCTTATATATCGTATAATGAAGTCAAGTACTACATGAGTGGATATATAGGAATCAAAATCTGCCGAATCACTCATGTTATGCTCTTCTACATCCTAGGTCTTCCCGTTCCTTCATCTGGCTTATGTTCTTCATGTAGCATTCAGACCGAATGACTCTATGAAATTACATCAATTCTTCCATATATTAAGGGTAACGTAGGAGACATCTCTATCTTTCCCTTAGGGAATCTTTAGAATTCCCACTGCTTAGCTTTCAATTTACCTCTGACTATCAAATGAAATGTGAATAACCCGTCCTCCTCTCTTTGAAACAAGGGGCGCTTTTGGTTCTGTGGGTGCTTGAAATAATTTTGTCTTCTCCATATTACTATATCTCTAGAGTCAATAATTTTATACAGGGAACTACTGAACTCAATCACTTGCTACCCTTACTCTTCAGTTTTCTGTTGAGGTCTATCCTGTAGAGGTACTCAAATTGGATCAGTGATCGATTTCTAGGTTTCGTCGTAAACCTAATTGGTTACTTCCAATTACGTAAATCAATAGTTCAAACCGCACTCAAAGGTAGGGCATTTCCCATTTTTATAGGAACTTCTGTACCAGAAATAATGGTATCTCCAATTATAGCCCCTCTGGGATGTAAAATATATCTCTTCTCACCATCCCCATAGTGTATGAGACAAATGTATGCATTTTTCATTCCGTCGAAAATCGATTTTACGGTATAGACGTTTATGACCTCCCCCTCTATGCCTTGCGGTAATGATTCCTCTGGCATTACGGCCTTTACCACAACGATGCTGCCCATAGATCAAATTATTTCGTGTATTGGATTTCACTTGACTGTCTACGGCTCCATTGCGTGTGCTCGGGGTAGAAGTTTTGTATAAATGTATCGCCATGCTATTAAGTATTTTGATTTAAGTTCTTTTCTTTCTAAGAGGTGGAATTAAATAACCCGGTTAAAGCATAATGATCATACGTCTGTAATGCATTGTATGTCCTATAATAGGTCTCATTCTTCTACCCTTTCCCGGGAGTCGATGGCTATTCATAGCTATTACCTTGACACCAAAGAAGAGTTCGACCCAATGCTTTATTTCTGTCCTAGTTGATCCTGATTCGACATTAGAAGTATATTGATTTTTCAACAATAACCGAATACTTTTATCTGTAACTATTGCATATTTGATCCCATCCATAAATCTATTGTCTTCCCTATGCGTTCTAGTCTCAATAAGAATGCTAGTTCCTATTGTTCATATGTTATGATATGAATATACAACACCAATTCGTTATGTATGGATGATGAGATTCCATTGGTACAAAGCCAATTCCAATACATTTATTAGAGGCTCCCATTAGTGTGCATCCAGTAGGAATTGAACCTACGAATTCGCCAATTATAAGTTGGGTGCTTTAACCATCCAGTCATAGATGTTTAGCGGGGATCCTCATACATGGTAAATAACCAAATTCCAATTGAAATGAAATATATAGGATAAATCAATGCAATTTAAATTTAGGAGGAATCAATGAAAGGACATCAATTGAAATCCTAGATTTTTGAATTGAGAGAGATCAAGAATTCTCACTATTTCTTAGATTCATGGACCCAGTTAAATGAAGTAGGATCTTTCATTCACATTTTTTTCCATCAAGAATGCTTTATAAAACTCTTGGACTCCCAAATTTGGAGTATCATATTTTAACGCATTTCACAGGGTTCAACAAGCAATCGATATTTCATGATCAAGGGTGTAGTACTATTTGTAGTAGTGGTCCTTATATATCATATTAACAATCAAAAGATGGTTGAAAGAAAACATCTCTGTTTGATAGGACTTCTTCCTATACCTATGAATTCCAATGAACCTAGAAATGATACATTAAAAGAATCCTTTGAGTCTTCCAATATCAATAAGTTAATTGTTTCACTCATCTTTCTTCCAAAAGGAAAAAAGATCTCTGAGAGCCGTTTCCTGGATCCGAAAGAGAGTACTTGGGTTCTCCCAATAACAAAAAAGTGTATCATGTCTGAATCTAACTGGGGTTCGCGGTGGTGGAGGAACTGGATCGGAAAAAAGAGCGATTCTAGTTGTAAGATATCTAATGAAACCGTCACTAGAATTGAGATCTCATTCAAAGAGAAAGCTATCAAATATCTAGAGTTTCTTTTTGTATATTATATAGATGATCCGATCCGTAAGGACCATGATTGGGAATTGCTTATCGTCTTTCTCCAAGAAAAGGGCGAAACATAATCAACTTGAATTCGAGACATCTATTTGAAATCTTAGTGAAAGACTGAATTTGTTATCTCATGTTTGCTTTTCATGAAAAAATACCAATTGAAGTGGAGGATTTCTTTAAACAACAAGGAGCTGGGTCAACTATTCAATCAAATGATATTGAGCATGCTTCCCATCTCTTCTCGAGAAAGAAGTGGGCTATTTCTTTGCAAAATTATGCTCAGTTTCATATGTGGTAGTTCCGCCAAAACCTCTTCGTTAGTTGGGGGAATAATCCGAACGAATCAGATTTTTTTAGGAACATATCGAGAGAGAATTGGATTTGGTTAGACAATGCGTGGTTGGTAAACAAGGATCAGTTTTTTAGCAAGGCATGAAATATATCGTCAAATATTCAATATGATTCCACAAGATCTAGTTATGTTCAAGGAAGAGATTCTAGCTAATTGAAGGGATCTTCTTATCAATCCAGAGATCATTTCGATTCCATTAGTAATAAGGATTCTTAAAATCACATATTGATCAATTAAAGAGAGATTCAACAACTAAAAGAAAGATCGATTCTTTAGGATCCTTCCTTTCTTCAAATGGAACAAACAGAGATAGAATCAGACCAATTCCCTAAATGCCTTTCTGGATATTCCTCAATATCCCGGCTATTCATGAAAGGTGCGAAGGAGATGAATAATCATCTGTTTTCGGAAGAAATCGAAGAATCTTTTTTCTCTGACAGATGGTCAGAACTTCATTTGTGTTCAAATCCTATTGAGAGGTCCATTAGAGATCAGAAATTATTGAAGAACGAACAAGATATTTCTTTTGTCCCTTCTAGGCAATCAGAAAATAAAGAAATAGTTAATATATTCAAGGCAATTATGTATTTATAAACTACCATCTCAATTCATCATATTTCATCAAATCTGGGATGTGATATGCTTCTGAAGGATGAACTGGATATGGACAATTCCAATAAGATTTCTTTCTTGAACAAAAATCCATTTTTTGATTTATTTCATCTATTCCATGATCGAAACGGGGGGGGATACACGTTACACCACGATTTTGAATCAGAAGAGAGATTTCAAGAAATGGCAGATCTATTCACTCTATCAATAACCGAGCCGGATCTGGTGTATCATAAGGGATTTGCCTTTTTTATTGATTCCTACGGATTGGATCAAAAACAATTCTTGAATGAGGTATTCAACTCCAGGGATGAATCGAAAAAGAAATCTTTATTGGTTCTACCTCCTATTTTTTATGAAGAGAATGAATTTTTTTATTGAAGGATCAGAAAAAAATGGGTCCGGATCTCCTGCGGGAATGATTTGGAAGATCCAAAACAAAAAAGAGTGGTATTTGCTAGCAACAACATAATGGAGGCAGTCAATCAATATGGATTGATTCCAAATTCAAATCCAATATAGCACCTATGGGTACATAAGAAATGTATTGAATCAATTCTTTTTAATGAATAGATCCGATCGCAACTTCGAATATGGAATTCAAAAGGATCAAATAGGAAATGATACTCTGAATCATAGAACTCTAATGAAATATACAATCAACCAACATTTATCGAATTTGAAACAAGGTCAGAAGAAATGGTTCGATCCTCTTATTTTTCTTTCTCGAACCGAGAGATCCATGAATTGGGATCCTAATTCATATAGATACAAATGGTCTAATGGGAGCAATAATTTCCAGGAACATTTCATTTCTGAGCAGAAGAGCCGTTTTCTTTTTCAAGTAGTGTTCGATTGATTATGTATTAATCAATATTTGATTGATTGGTCTGAGGTTATCGACAAAAAAGATTTGTCTAAGTCACTTCCTTTCTTTTTGTCCAAGTTTCTTCTCTTTTTGTCCAACTCACTTCCTTTTTTCTTTGTGAGTTTCGGGAATATCCCCATTTATAGGTCCGAGATCCATATCTATAAGTTGAAAGGTCCGAATGATCAACTCTGCAATCAGCTATTAGAACCAATAGGTCTTCAAATTGTTCATTTGAAAAAATAAAAACCCTTTTTATTGGATGATCATGATACTTCCCAAAAATCAAATTTTTTTTTATCAATGGAGGAACAATATCATCATTTTTGTTCAATAAGATACCAAAGTGGATGATTGACTCATTCCATACTAGAAATAATCGCAAGAAATCTTTTGATAACACGAATTCCTCTTTCTCAATGATATCCCACGATAAAGACAATTGGCTGAATCTCGTGAAACTATTTTATAGAAGTTCATTGATATCTTCTTTTTATAAAGCAAATCGACTTCGATTCTTGAATAATCTACATCATTCATGCTTCTACTGTAACAAAAGATTCCCTTTTTATATGGAAAAGGCCCATATCAAGAATTATAATTTTATGTATGGACAATTCCTCAATATCCTGTTCATTCGCAACAAAATATTTTCTTTGTGTGGCGGTAAAAAAAACATGCATTTTTAAAGAGAGATATTATTTCACCAATCGAGTCATAAGTATCTAACATATTCATTCGTAATGATTTTCCAAAAAGTGGTCATAAAAGCTTGTACAAACCTTTCCATTTTCCAATTCGACCCGATCCATTTGTTCGTATAGCTATTTATTCTATCACAGACATTTCTGGAACACCTCTAATGAAGGGACAAATATTCAATTTTGAAAGAACTTATTGTTAACCTCTTTCGGATATTAATCTATGTGATTCAAAAGGGAAGAACTTGTATCAGTATCTCAATTTCAATTCAAACATGGGTTTGATTCACACTCCATGTTCTAAGAAATATTTACCATCCAAAAAAAAGGAAAAAACAGAGTCTTTGTCTAAAAAAATGCGTTGAAAGGGGGCAGATGTATAGAACCTTTCAACGATATTGTGCTTTCTCAACTCTCTCTAAATGGAATCTATTCCAAACATATATGCCATGGTCCCTTACTTCGATAGGGTACAAATATCTATATTTGATATTTTTAGATACCTTTTCAGACCACTTATTACCGATACTAAATAGCAGTCAAAACATTGTATCCATTTTTCATGATATTATGCATGGATCAGATATATCATGGTGACTTCTTTAGAAAAAATTATGGAAGACACAATGGAATCTGATAAGTGATATTTTGAGTAAGTGTTTACATAATCTTTATTTTTCTGAAGAAATGATTCATCAAAATAATGAACCACCATTGATATCGACGTGGCTAAGATCGCCAAATGTTTGGGAGTTTTTTTATTCAATCCTTTTCCTTTTTCTTGTTGTAGGATATCTCGTTCGTACACATCTTCTTTTTGTTCCCCAAGCCTATAGTGAGTTGCAGACAGAGTTCGAAAAGGTCAAATCTTTGATGATTCCATCATATATGATTGAGTTGCAAAAACTTCTGGATAGGTATCCTACATCTGAACTGAATTCTTTCTGGTTAAAGAATCTATTTCTAGTTGCTTTGGAACAATTAGGAGATTTGCTAGAAGAAATACGGGGTTTTACTTCTGGCGGCAACATGCTATGAGGTTGTGGTCCTGCTTACAGGGTCAAATCAATACGTTATAAGAAGAAATTTTTTACTCTTTCATATAGTAGGGGATTTCACTTGGAAAAGAAAATGTTTCATACTAAGAGATTTAGGTCTGTAACCATGGGTTCCAATGTACGAGATCTTGTAGCACTTACCAATGAGGCCCTATCGATTAGTATTACACAGAAGAAATCAATTATAGACACTAATATAATTAGATCTGCTCTTTATAGACAAACTTGGGATTTACGATCTTAGGTAGGATCGGTTTTAGGATCATGGGATCCTTTTCTGTCAGATAGAAAGGGCTGTTGCACAAAATGTATTTCTAAGTAATTGCCCCATAGATCCTATATCTATCTATATGAAGAAGAAATCATGTAACGAAGGGGATTCTTATTTGTACAAATGGTACTTCGAATAGTGAACGAGCATGAATAAATTAACAATACTTCTTTATCTTTTGAGTTGTTCTGCCGGATCGATTGCTCAAGACCTTTGGTCTCTACCCGGACCCGATGAAAAAAATGGGATCACTTATTATGGACTTGTTGAGAATGATTCTGATCTAGTTCATGGCCTATTAGAAGTAGAAGGCGCTCTGGTGGGATCCTCACGGACAGAAAAAGATTGCAGTCAGTTTGATAATGATCGAGTGACATTGCTTCTTC